TGTCTGTCTGTCTGTCTGTCTGTCTGTCTGTCTGTCTGTCTGTCTGTGTGTGTGTGTGTGTCTGTGTGAAAGAGCCAGCGTACCTGTAGATCTAGATGGGTGTTCAGTTTGGCTAGAAAAGCGCTTGCTTAACAGTCCATTTACCAAATGTTAAATAAGTATCAGAAACTAAACGATGGATGGAAGTGAGATTTCCCATCCTCTTAAGATGTTCCCTCATTCCCTTATGCTGTAGATAATAAACACTAGACCACAATTACAAAATGTCATGTCAAAAGAGTCGAGGAGAGTTGCGCACATTTGTTTTATTTTACGTGGGAAGTTGAACTCTCAAGTGTCATTTCATTAATTATTCATCTAACTTCTAGTCTTATTTCATTTTGTACCCTCTTCAACAAGCAGTCTCTATGCAGAACATTACCCCCCAGGGGCAGAATGAAGGCGATGTGTTCCTGAGTACCAGAAAAAAAAAACCTTACTAAAATTATTTAGTATGTTTTTTTTGTTGAGATGATTTCTGAGAAACAAACACTTTCATAGACTGTTCATTGAGATTATGAGATTTTGTGGGTTGTTTTGTTCATTGAGGCCCGATTTTGCGATATGCTCTTATTTACACTGATTGTGGGTGCTATTTTTGAAGATGCATATCCTATATAATGTATTTCTATATCTCTATAAATTTCATACCCAAGATTGTCTCTGTGGCCTTTATTAGAAGTAGGAAATAAAAATCCATCTGTAAAACTTTGCAGACCTCGATTGAATGTGAGCAGTGCAACAAAAAACAACTGAATGAGACGTGTGCATCCCAGCATGGGCTTTAGTTTAAGAAAGGTTATAGTGTAAAATCTAACAACTCGTGATGTAGATGTGGACCATTTTAATCCACACAGACTGAGCTGAAATCCGCTACAGTGATGGTGCAGCGTCACAGACACCTTCCAGTGTCGTCATGTAATGGCCTGTGTCCAAGTAATGACTCCACCACATTCATTAGCAGACTGCAAACAATCTCATTTCTGCAGATATTCAGCTGGTGCTTTTGGGTTTACAGGCAATCCACTGATTCTTATTTAGATGTGAGCACAGGATGGAAAAGCCCCCTGAAAGCTTGGTGGAGGGCTGTTTTGTGTTTCAGCATCACATCAGCTAGCAGTGCTACGTTCCAGGCAGAGTGCTGATGTATAGCAGGGATTGATGAGGTGTGGAGAGGAAGGTTCTCAGATGAGTTAATGATCAAATCCAGCAGGTAGAACGTGTCTGGAAGTCTATCGAGCCATGCATATTGTTGTTGAGGGAGTCTATTTAAAGCGTTTATGAGACACTGGCTTTTAATTATTAAGGGTTGGATATTCTTTACTTAATGGGTGCCCCACAGCCTGCCACTGCTCCAGAAGCTGGATTCATTTAAAGCCCAGATTGGTAGAAAAGTGCTTTTTCGGGAGGTGCTGGCAGATTGTCAAGCCTGCCAGGAGAAGTTGCGTTACTTATTCATCTTGATTGAGCTTGGTAGGGGATGCACCTGGCATGTTTAACCTTAGTGCCCAGAGCTCTTGTGAAATAAGAGGAGAATCCGTCCAATACTCTGCTTTGCAGGAATTACCAGCCTTTCTTTTCAGGCTGGGAGTACTTTTCCCTCTTCAGCTCCGTATCAGAACAATGTGATGGATGTGTTCAGAGTGCTGCCGAGCTTTCTCAGTATAATGATATCAAATGATCAAACCAGAGTGTTAAGAACAGACAGCACTTTGTGAAGAGGCTTCATCTCAATTTGTGCTGAGCATGTGTGCTAGCAGGTGCTTGGTTTGAAGAAGTTATGATTGAGTGTTTTTTTTTGTTTTTTAGTCTGTTCTTATCAGCATTTTATTTTGATGGTTACTTGTGGAAACATCTAAATGAATTAGAATTGTTAAGATCAAACTCTTAGATTCTCATATCTCACTATCTTGCAGATGCAGGAACCGTTCACAGATTTCGTCAGAATTTCAGGTCTTTTTTTGTTGGTTCTAGGAGCACCAGAGACAGCGATGCAGAAGACGAGGACGACGAGCGCCGCATGAGTCGAGGGTGCACCCTCCAGTACCAGAGGGCCCTGGTCAAGGTGCTGACCCAGTTCCACACCACTTCAACGGAGGGAACCGACCAGGTCATCACCATGCTGGGCCCCGACTGGCTGGTGGACGTCACAGACCTGGTCCAGGACTCCCTGAAGGTGACGGACGCCAGGATTGCAGAGCTGGTGGACAGGACGATCCTGGTGGGGCTGGAGCTGGGCTCCACCGTTCTCAAGGTAACCGCCTCTGCTCGTCAGTGGTTGGCGTTTGCATAAATCAAACTGGGAAAAACCTTGTGGATGTGGTCTGATTAAAGCGGAGCAGTCAGCGGGTGCCTCTGCAAGATGCATTCCAAGTGCACTCCAGCCCATGCAAAATGAAGGCTGATTAAAGAAAACGAGGATGGTCCTCCAATAACCAGGACATGAGCCAGGCCGGTCAGCCTGCAGGTTATTTTCTGTCAAAGCTGTCCATCAGCAGCATTAGCATGAGTCTTCACACAGAACTTCATTTAAGAATTGAGACAATTAAAGACTAACCCTTTTGAAAACTGTTGAAGAAATGAATAGAGAAAAATGTGGCTATCTTTTGTGATTTTGGCTTTTATCTGTATGCCAACATAGTACCTCATAGTTTTAAAAGTGATTTGAATTTATTTTGCCAAACGTTTGACACCTGTGAGCGGTTAGTGTTGTAGAAAAAAAGGCTGCGGTTTGTTAGAATGAACTAGTGTGACTGATCCTGTAAAATCGGTGATGCTGCCTCACTACTGAAGAAGACAGCACAGATATTATCTGTTGTGAGTTTAAACTTGAAGCCAGAACACAGTAGATAACGTTGTGATAAATGGTTGTAACACATTTTAGGAGGTAATTATAGTTTTCATTCTTTTCTTTCTTTACCTAGAAACCTTGTTGGATTAGTTATTGTCAGCTTCTTTTGTCCTAATATCAGCCTACTGACTGATGGTACAAATAACCGAAAGTGAAAAACAAGCTCTTTTCATAGAGATTATTCAGTCCTTCACAGCAAAAACCACTTTTCTATGATGTTATTTTCCTTTTTTAGCATCTTGTTCATGTCTCTTATGAAACAAAGATGCTCTCCCTGTAATGATGCTCTTGTTGATGTTGTCTCTTCTCAAGTGAAGGAGCTGCCAGACATAAATCGCATGTAAATGTGTTAGCCAAGACAAGTTCCGAGCTTCTGAATGAAGCCGCACACGTTATCACATCTCGGCTGTGATTTACTGAGACAGAGATGGAATGGTGGGTGTAAGTTTTAATCACCTTGAGGGATCGTAGTTTTAGCCTGTCAGGAAAAATAATTGTTGTCTGGCAGATGCATCAGATGATGGCAAAATAGAGGAAAAATATAAGTCACCGATCAATCATGTTAAATGAGCAATGGATCGTTTACACTGGGAGAAGGCATGAATAATTACACAACAATTTACAGATAAATGCACCTTGCTACAATGACTCAGTTTTAATGAATAACAAGACTGAAATGGCATTACCTTTAAAGTTTTGGTAGGATCAAAACTAATTAAGTTATCTAAAAATATAGATAAAGGTATTTTTCAAGTTCATATATTCTGTAAAGCTGTACATGATGTCTTTGACAGATATTGTCCTTCTCAAGACTATACGAGTATTAAGTATTATTATTTTCATGATTTAAAACATATATATATATTTATATATGGATGTAAATTTCTCCCAATCTGCCACAGGTTGGAAGAGCAGTGTGTGCCGTGACAGTGTATAATGTCCCGGCATGTTTCATGTCAGTGGTGGTCAATGGAGCCTATGAATTCAGTTTAGGAGGACACATAAGATAGATTCAGCATGTTTAAAGAGCAGGAGGCAGACACATCTTTGATCATATTCTCCTCTCAGATATACTAAGGTAAACTACTGTATTGTATCCACGCAGTATCACAATTGTAACACAGAAAAGGAAATATTTAGCAACAATTTGCCACCGCCTTTAATCATGTTAATGTTTCAGTAAAACTAAATGCTATTCTCAGCACCCCCACTTTGGGTTATTCAGGTTTAATGCTCAGAGTCGTCAGCACTGCCGTTTGTCACGTGAGACCACTGAAATTAGCACAGAAGCCAAAGTAAAACCAAAGCTGACAAAATGTCTTCATTTTGAAACTACTGACACTATGTTATAAATCAGAGTGGTAGACAGGTTGAAGTCTGATGTGGTTATGGCTCAAGATCAGAAGTGAAAAGGTTATTAATTTTCACCCTTAAGGGAACCGGTTGGATTACGGTGAGCACCAAAGATGATGGTAATCCATCTGAGCTGTTGATGTTTCTCTCAAATCCTTCATGTAAAACCTAAAGCAAATTTGTTACATTCACCATCAGGGAACAGCGGGCGGAACGTCTGTGCCGAGGCATCAATCAAAAGAAAAGAGCATTTATCCAGCGGTTCGTATCAGAGAAATATTCTGCAGAGGACTCACAAACACAACCATTAGTCAAGCCCGCAGTTAATGTGGCCAATAAAACGAAGGACAGTTTCTCTGGTTTACTGCGACATGTCATTCCACAAAGTCAGTCGCAAGTGAAAGTTCCCATCAGGGCTCCGATTCATTCCGGTTCAGTCACATGATCAGCAGCTAATGAAACCAAATGACAAACTCCAGCTGTTCCCAAACGTCCCCCCCCAGACCTGCAACTCAGTCCCTGCAGGGGTCAAAGCATTCCTGAAAAGGGCAAAGCAATTGAACAATCCCTTCCTGAAGAGTCCAGACGGCCTGGGGATGTCCAGTCAGAATGAATAGCCAAAGCAAGTCAAAGTACGGGGACGCTTTCTTCTAGAAAATCGTGAAATTTTGTGTTAATTTGCGACATTTCCATAAACAGATTCAAATCATTCACCAGGTGGTGAATATGAATCAAGCACAGAGGCAGATTTGTTTCTCTTAGGGCAAAATTCATGCACTTGATTTCTTCCTTTTTGTATGAGGTATAGGAAAAAGTCTTCTCTAGCCACTGGATGACAGATCCAGTCAAGATAAAGTATGAAGTGCAAACTGGCAGAGCTGTAAATTATACAAACAGAAGATGTAGATAATATTTCTTTACTAAGAGCACTCCGAATGTCACTCTGTATTAACTAAACCTGGAAGGGGATTGATTCATTTCTGAGAAAAGAAAATCATTTCTGAAGATTTGAACCCTGTGGAGGGGAAAAGCCAGGTTTGGGTGCAGAAGTCCCAGTAGGTCTATAAATCAGACATACTCCACACACATTTTATCCTCAGCAGAATAGATTTGGCATTTCGAAAATTTCCAGAATATTTAAAAGCAACATATTATTGTAAAGCATATATTAAGGTAAATATCGGTATTATATGGGTATTTAGATATTTAGCTAAAGTCGGTCAAATCCAAACTATGACAAAAATAAACTCTGCTTTTAGTTTTGGGCCCCAGGGGGATGATAGGGGTTGTGTTTGCTCTTTTCACTTTAAATTTGACATTAAATCTCGTTCTTAGTTCTATGGTTGACTTAACATAAGAAACAAGTTAGATGATAATGCTCCTCTCATTCTCTGTGTAATACGTAAATAAAGGTAGTTTAATTAAGAATGCACATTTTTAACCTGAAAATGGTCTATCTTAAAAAGAAATTCTGCATCAAAAACAGCTTCCAAACACTTATTTTAACCTTTAAAGTATGTGCAGTCGTGTTGCTACTACAAGCCTGTCACTGAAGAAAAAAAGTGATCAGTACTTTGTGTAACTGTGACCCAGACTTACAAATGCTTTGCTACTTAATGAGTGTCATATCATAAACTCTCAGCTGTCCAATAAATTAGAAAATGATGCTATTTGTGTAATACTGAGACACAGTAGCGACTGAGCTGACTTCTTTGCAGCTTCTTGGGAGGGAACGTTTTGCCAACCTAGTGGGGCTAAAGTTATCTTACAGCTGCAGTCTGTTTCCTGTTTCCACTGGAGGAAACCTTGTATTCCCTTAAAAGTTTACAGAATGCTGAAACATTCATTTTCCAGAGGTATTACATTTGTATTTCATCAGTCCTCTTAGAAACTAAAGCGCTTCATGCTTTGTGCAGAAGAGCGGCCTGACGCACTAATTATCCTGATGAACTCCGGAGTGAAAACGCCCACAATTTCCTACAAGATAAAGGCAAAAGTGTAAAGTTATAGTAGAAATACATGGAACAGACCTTCCATGTAAATCCACAAACACAGAACAGGACTAACTTTGGCAGACCTTCTGAATGTTTGACTGAATTCTGTCATGGTTTTCCTCATATTATTCTTAGATAATGGATGCTGGCAGTTCAATGCTTAATTTGTGTGCTACTTATAAAAAGTCAGTGTAGCACAGCAAAGAGGTTACACAACACAGACATAGGGATGAGCTATTATAAAGCCTGGGCTGTGTTATGTAAGGTTGATTATGCCACACTGCACCAGATTTATTACATACCTTAACTCCTGTGACGTTTATTTTTTTTTAATTTACAAAAATCCTGAATGCTGTGTGAAATTTTAGTATAAATAAAGATAGAAAGCCATTTCTGAACAACGATCTAAATAAGACGTCACTGTGATTGACTGGATGTGAGTTATTCTACTCTGACTGTTTCCACTTTCACAAAACCTTGCAAAAACGAAAGATAAAGATAAAACCACATAAGCACATTTAGAGAATACAAATCGTCTTAGAATTATTCATAATTATAGATATGAAATCATAATCATAAAAGAAACTGTAAGAGATTCATACGGAGAAAAAAAAACAGAATAATGCAGTGTGCTGCAAGTCCCATCCAGCCGTCTGAGATCCTCCTCCATGGTCAGGGAAGAGACTCATCTGGTCATCGACTTTCTGTAGCTTGGACTCTAATCGTTAATCTTCTGTTTGCTTGAAGCCCTGGTAGAATATTACCACGGGTTCGGCTCTCGACTTCAGCAGCAGACATGATGCCACGCACTGCTTCACACAGTAAAAGACAAGCCCCCCTTTAACCATCATATAAAGCAGCCCGTTTTTTTTCTCCCTTGCTTGCAGTTTCAGCCACAAATGAAAGAAGGTTCTGGAAGGTTCTGGAAGCAGCAGAGCAGCTGCACCCCGGAATGACAGAAAAGCTCAATTTTCCATTAGCAATCTATTTAGTGTTATTTAGATAAACTATCTCACACACCCTCCACCGAAAATATTGAAATTGCCGTTCATATTC